CACATGTGAGGCACTGTTTGATTCTCAGAACCACATAAAAATAAGTAGACAAAATAAAGACATTCTGTTCATGTGTAACTAAAAAAGTATTTTTTAAAAAAAGAGTACAGTTCAGTAGTGTTAACTCTGTGCACATTATTGTGCAACAGATTCCAGAACATTTTTTATCTTGCAAATCTGAAACTCTGTACGCTAAACAACAGCTTCCCTCCCCCAGCTCCTGCAGCCACCATTCTACTTTCTGTCTGTGAATTTGATGACTTTAGATACCTCATATCTGGAGTTAGGCAATATTTGCCCTTTCGCAACTAACTTATTTCACGAAGCATAAGTTCCTCAAAATTCATCCATGTTGTAGCATATGACAGGATCTCCTTCCTTTTTAAGGATGAGTAATATCCTATTGTACGTGATATACTGCATCTTGGTCACCCATTTATCCCTCTGTGGACACTTGGGTTACTTCTGTTTCTTGCGGCTGTGAACGTGTGTTGAGTGACAATTCACAAGACAGCTGTAGAGGATATTTTAGGAGATCTAGCTGAAGTGAGGTTCCAGGGGCTCTGTGAAGTCACACCTGCTTTCCTTTGCTCCTTTCTTTTTTCCTTTCTTTCCTCATTTTCCCTCAACAAGTCATGTAATATTTGCTGTGCCGTCACCCATCCTAAGCACCTTAAGACCTTTTGGTAAAGAGCAGGAGGATCTGTGGCTCCATTGTATGGGTGAAAAAAGTGGCTCTGAAAGCTGAAAGTGATAGAACCTTCCCGGAGCCGCACAGTGTTCTCAGAACAGTCAGTGCTCAGACCCCGGTCTGTACGTACAGCTCAAGTTTCTCATGACGGGATCCTAGATAGACGTATGTACTTGCCCAGCTGTCCAGGACCGGGAAGATTCCTGTGGGGCAGGAGTTGGGCCCTCTCCTGGAAGTGACAGTTTACTTTGGGAAGAGGCCAAGGCTGGGTGGGGACCCCCCCACCAAGCACTCAGCCCAGGGGGAAGTGATTGTATTTATTTATTCCAGAGAGTTGGCAAGATCCAGACCTGGGGGATGGGGACTTTTGAAGAGGGAGAAGGCAGAGAAAATATAAATATATTGCTAGATCCATCTTTGATCCAGCTCTTGCCTGGTACCTTTACTAGGCTTTGTGCCCAGCAGGTGAAAACCCAGCCAGTTCCGGGGCTATGGGGTGTCTCTTCCACTAGCACAGAGTGGCATTAATTCCCTCAACCCAAGTCTGGCCTGCATGTTCTTCCCTGGCCCCTGCAGAGTGGTGATTATGAACTCAATCCTGGAGCACATGTGTGCAGATGTGCTACAGCAGACAGCCACTCAGATCAAGTTCCCATCCACGGGGGTGGACACAATGCCCTACTGGAACCTGCTGCCCCCCAAGCGGCCCATCAAGGAGGTGTTAACAGACATCTTTGCCAAGGTGCTGGAAAAGGGCTGGGTGGACAGCCGCTCCATCCACATCTTCGACACCCTGCTGCACATGGGAGGTGTTTACTGGTTCTGCAACAACCTGATTAAGGTACTTGGGCTGGGTGGGTGTGGGCTAGGGTGGGCAGGTGTCCTCAGCCTGAGACCCAGCCTCCAGCCCGGCTGGCTAGGATTCTCTAAAAGAAGCAGCTGTGAGCTGGGCAGCCTCCTGGGAATACTGAGTATGTAATGGGGGTGGGGGAATAAAGCACTGTGGCCCCCGTACCTGCCCAGAGAGCCCACAGGAGTAGTAGGGGTGTTGAGTGCCAGAGTCGGGCCTTCAGCTCTTCAGCACCCGGCTCACCTGCCCATCAGGAGCTGTTGAAGGAGACTCGGAAGGAGCACACGCTGCGGGCAGTGGAGCTGCTCTATTCCATCTTCTGTCTGGACATGCAGCAAGTGACCCTTGTCCTGCTGGGCCACATCCTGCCTGGCCTTCTCACCGACTCCTCCAAGTGGCACAGCCTCATGGATCCCCCTGGCACTGCGCTGGCGAAGTAGGATTCTCTTCAGAGCCTGCCTGGCTCCCACAAATGGGCCTCCAGCCCCTGCCGCCCAAAGTTAGGCACCCCAACCTATACCGCCTTGGGAGCTTGGCTGTGGGCATGTCCTGTCAGGTGGGGCTTGGTCAGTGTGGACACAGGTACCTTGTTCTGGTTCCCATTAACTATACCTCCTTTTCCTGGAACCCTTTGCCAGACTAGCTGTATGGTGTGCCCTGAGTTCCTACTCCTCTCACAAGGGACAGGCATCCTCCCGCCAAAAGAAGAGACACCGGGAAGACATTGAGGTAGAGGCTTCTCTGCTCACTTATTAATGTCTCTATTCACCTTTTCTGAGTGTTTGCTGATAAAAGAGGCCTCCTCGGGAAGTAGGGTCAGAAACATGGGCACTGCCCTCGCCTCAGCTGGTTGGGCCTGATCAGTCAAGATCTGGAGAGGTGGCTTGTATGGACCCCCAGCTGCCCTTGGCCGAGGTCCTGTCTGCTCACTGGGTCTGTGGAGGGGTGAGGCAAGGGACCAGCGTGCTGGCAATGCTGATACTGTGGGCTCAGACTTGAGTTCCAGTCCTCTTTGCTGGTTGCTAGAACTTTGAGGACTGGGGGTAAGTGTTAGTGACTTTCCTGCTCTCCAGGATTACATCAGCCTCTTTCCCTTGGACGACATGCAGCCATCAAAGCTGATGCGACTGCTGAGCTCCAATGAGGACGATGCCAACATCCTCTCCAGTCCCAGTGAGTGTGTGGGAGGGCTGCACGGGCCCCTCTTTGCCTGGGCACTCACTCTTCCCTGGGGAAGCTGCTCCGCTTGATCCCTGCCATGGGCCTCAGCCCTGCACCTCAGCTACAGCCTTGGTCACCAGTCTGTGCTGGCTGGTCAGAGGGTGTGGCAGGGGCTTGTGTCATTTTGTTCCCTAGGGGATGCTCCCTTGCTTACCCCTAGAGATAAGGTCACTGTTCACTGTCCGTAAAGAAGCTCTTCTGCAGGCTGGGGATATAGCCCAATTGGTAGAGTGGTTGCCTCAAATGCACAAGGCCCTGGGTTCAATCCCAGCACTATAAATAAATAAATAAGTAAATAAATAAATAAGGAGCTCTTCTGCCCAGGTCCTCCCAGCCCCACAGCTGCCCCTCCCAAACCTCCTCAGCACAGGGTTAAGGGGTGACACTGCATGAAGGGAGTTCACTACCTCGGCACAGCCTGTGCCATTGACTCACCAGCTGTGGCCTTCCTTCCTTCCCCCCGAAACATGCCCTGTGCCCTGGAGCAGGCCCAGGCTGAGACTTGAGGCTAATTCCCGCTCTTCCTGCCCTCTCCAGCCTGCTTCCTTGGATGTCATTACCTTCTCACTGTCCTCCCCTCACTGCGAGGCTTTCTGCCAGAGGCGGCTTCGGCGGTGTTTAATTTCTCCTGTTTCCAGAGCTTGCTCCTGAACCTAGAAGTTTCTTTGGGCCTTTCAGAGATTAGGGAACTAACCACATGCTTGAAAGGTGCTGGGTCTGCCTGCCACCTATAGACCTGTGACCTATAGCTGGTTATTTTGCAAATCTGAGTCTCGGTTTTCCCATTTGTAAAGCCGGCGTTGAGAACGTGAAGCCACGTACTCCATGAGAAGTGCCAAGGTTGGCCCTGGTGGTGCTTATTAGTTCTTCTCACTCATCCCCTGTATTTGGGGCCCTACTGTGACTCTTGATCCAAAGATCTTCTCTTAACACAGCACACACCAAATATCTCCTGTGGGTGAACAGGTGAGGGCTAGCCCCTGGAGAGCCAGTTTTTGAGTGCATTGTCTCCTCTGCCCTGTCCCACAGCTGACCGGTCCATGAACAGCTCCCTCTCGGCCTCTCAGCTCCACACAGTCAACATGAGGGACCCTCTAAACCGAGTCCTGGGTGAGTCTTCCCAACTGCGTCTGAATCTGGGGGCTGAGCTGGGAGGAGTCCCCTTTCCTCAGGGGAGGCCAGGAGGCCTTGTTGTGGAAGGGGTCCTCCTAGTACCCCCTCACTGCCCTCCACCGCATGTCCCCACCTCTCCCCTCCATCTCTCCTGTCTCCCCAGCTCCCATTGCCCCCTTCTTCTCTCTGTTTTTCTCTTTGCCTTTTCTCTCTGATATCCCCATCTGGAGCTTTTCCAGCACTTCTTTCTCTTCCTTTCTCAGTCCCGTCTTCCCCCTGAGTCTGACCTGTTCTCAGATCCTCCCATGAATTCTCTGTTCTCCCCCTCCACACAGCCAACCTGTTTCTGCTCATTTCCTCCATCCTGGGCTCCCGCACCGCGGGCCCCCACACCCAGTTTGTGCAGTGGTTCATGGAGGAGTGCGTGGACTGCCTGGAGCAGGGCAGTCGGGGCAGCATCCTGCAGTTCATGCCCTTCACCACCGTGAGTACCATGTCTAGATGAGGAGGGTGGCAAGCCTTAGGGGTATGGGTTCACAGAAGGAAGGGACTTCTTCCTCCTGGGACATCACACCTACCTAAACTACCCCAGTGAGCAGCCGTTTGTCCATCTTTCTTTGCAGGTTTCAGAACTGGTGAAGGTGTCAGCCATGTCCAGCCCCAAAGTGGTTCTGGCCATCACAGACCTCAGCCTTCCTCTGGGCCGCCAGGTGGCTGCCAAAGCCATTGCTGCGCTCTGAGGGACTTAGAGGGGCCACAGTGAGTGGCTAGGTCCCAGCCCAAGAGCATTAGATGGGAACAGTGAGGAAAGATGAGCCATTGTGGCTTAAATCCACATGATGTGAGAACCCTTTGTCAGTTTCTTTTGTGATTTCCTCTCCCTTATGCTAATGCCTGAAGAGCGTGAGCAGCCTGGATCTTCAGCCTTTGGTGTCCCCCACATACCAGAAGTACACTTAGCCCTGAGGAACTTTACAGATTCGTATATGTATATCAATATATTTTTGTAGTAACTGAGGGAAAGCTCACTTGTAAATAAAAGTCCTTACAGGTCCTTTGTGCCTCTAGTACCTGTGTTGCCTGGATCAGGACGGGGACTTCTCCTTGCACTCTTCCTGCTGGGCTGTGGCCGGGAGGGGCTCAATCCTGTGGTGAGGAGGGAGGAGGAGAAGGAAGAGGTGCAGAGGCAGGCAGGACTCAGGTTCCCGCTTGTCCACTCAGGAGGGCAGGGCAGGGCAGGGCAGGGGATGAGAACAGCTGCTTTCCACAGACTGGACTGGGGTGGAGAGGAGAGATACGCCTTCCCTGCCCTGAGCCATACCCTGAGAAGGGAGCCTGGGCAGAAGGCCATGAGATGCTGGGGCAAGGTGTCCTGCTCTTCTCTCATGCCCCACCCAGTCTGATTGACCCATGATTTGATCTGTCCCCTCCAGAAAAAGAGCAGGGGTGATAAGGACAGGAACTCCTTAACCCTTTCTTGTTCACAACCCACTCTCCAAGCCTGAGGCAGAAGGCCCTGAGCCATCCTGCATGTGGGGAAGGGAATGGAGGTGACTGAGGAGTCACAGGTGGGAGGTCTTGAGGATGGTGGCTCCACCAGGCAGGGACCCTTCAGTTACAGGTGTGCCTCACATACGTGGTAAGGAGGCTAGGACCCAGCCCTCCCTGGCCACATCCCAGCCCTGCCCTGGGACCTCTTCACCCGCAGGCTGAGCCAGGCAGGAAAGGGCCAATTGGAGGAGTGCTCTGTGAGGAAGAGATAACCAGGCCTGGAATTTGAGTTCTTTTCTTTTTAATTTAATGTTTTTATTTATTTATTTTTCGGTTGTAACTGGACACGATATCTTTATTTTATTTATTTATTTTTATGTGGTGCTGAGGATTGAACCTAGGGCTTCCCATGTGCTAGATGAGCACTCTCCGCTGAACACAATCCCAGCCCCTGGAATTTGAGTTCTGACCCAAGTGGTCACCAAACACTCTGCTTCCTCATCTTCTGTCTTTGTGGGCAACTCTGTGGATGGGCTCAAGTTTATGGAAGCTGGTAAAGCAGCCAGCTGTGCACATGTTCAGGACCCCTGGCTACAGCCCAGTCGGCCTATGTCTGGCCTGGTGAGCCCACCCTAGCCCCAAGCCCTCTCTCGCCTCCAGCACCCACAGTCTGTCTGCCTTCTGCCTTTCCTACAAGGCTATGGCTGCACCAGGACAGGAATGTGTGCTTTTTATTGCTCTGTCCCTAGCACAGCCCAGCACTTGCAGAGTAGGTGCCCAGGTGGTACATGCTGAAGGAGTCAGCGCTGGGTGAGCTGAGGACCTGCCTCCTCCTCAGCCTCCTCCCCACTCCCTCTGGCCTCTCCCACCACTCACCAGTCCCTGGCCAGGCACTAGCTGGACTCAAGAAGGAGGAAGGACATTTACTAGAGACAAACACTTTATTATCCTCAGCCTGGTTACAATGAAGAGTGGGGACAGGGTAGAGGCTGAGCCTGGGCTTCCTTTCACATCACACTCCCTTTGTGATTGCCCCTTGTCTTCTCCCTTCCTAATCCCAGTCCTAAAAGGAGAATCTGACTTTGGTGGGGACAGGGGCAAGAAACCCAAGGACATGGATGTCTGAGCTCCTTGTATTGGGAGTCAAACATGCCCCCCAAATCAGAAAGAAACTAGATTGTTCAGCAAATTCCAGGTCCAAGACTCATAGTCCCGGCTGCCTGTGTTTCTCCAGAGACTTAATAATGCCTGTGGGGATGGGGATGTGAGGGGACACAGGACTTGGCTGACCAGAAAGAGGGATACAAGGATCCAGTCGGGGAACACTGCTGTTTAAATATTAAACAGGTTTGGCTTGTCTCCCACGTGAGAGACCTTCTGATGCTTCCCATGGCCCCAAGGTAGATACCTCAGGGTTCACTGTGGCTCTTCTTAGTGCCCCACAGAGCCAGGGCCAGGGAGCAGCTCCAGGAAGAAATACTTGGTATTTACCTATCTACCTCCCACCCAGTGGACAGGAGGACAGGAGCTTTTTCTCACTGCTACAGGCAGGAGAATGAAACTCGGAGATGGAGGGAAGGACACAGAGGTCTGGGCTCTGTTCTCTCTTCCCTGACTTTAAATATTAGGCTTAAATAACCATAAATATTAAATAGAGATAAATACACTGGGTGGGGAGGGCTTTGCTCAGGGCTCAGCAAGGTGGCGCAGAACTCGGTACACCAGCTCCAGGAGCCTCTGCAGTCGAGAAGCAACCAGGACACCTACTGCCCGGCGCTGGAAGGCAGAGGTGAAGGTTGGCATGGTGCCCTGGGTGGGCTGCACGGCAGGGGCCACCCCTAGGTCTTCCATCTGCAGGGGAAAGAAGAGATGAGGGATCAGGCTCTGCTGAGCAGGAGTTGCTGCAAGTGAGAAAACACTGGATGGGGCTGTTGTGCAGGACTGTGGGCAGCCACGCAGTTCACGGTGGAACTGAGACTCAGGTCTGAGACCTGACTCCTTGCCCTTGGCTGGAGGGACTGGAGGTAGGCCAACAGGAGAGTCCTAAAAGCGGGGGTGTGGCTGACTGCACAAGGCCCCCCGAGAATGCTCTCTTGACTGTGGCGAGCTTCCAGGATGTAGTGTGGCCATGGCAGTATGACCTGGTCTCCACCCCCATCAGTCACTTGCCTCTCCCTCCAGGGCTCACCTGCTGCCAGACAGTGGTGGCAAAGTTGGCAACATCCAGCTGTAGCATGTCCACAGTGGGAGACAACTCGGGGGATATCCCTGCCAGGGCCTGCAGGAGGCCCTGGTAGAGGAAGAGGCCGCTCTGCAGTTGGCTCAGGCAACCTGTCTAGAGGGCAGAGTAGGAGAGGTAGGCGCTGCATGGGGTGGGCCACTCCCTGTTCCCAGGCATCTTGGCATAGGGGTGTGGTCCCTCCCTCTGACCCGCCTCTCCCCATTCCCCTCCAGCCACTCACCAGCTGCAGGCCCTGGCTGGAGCAGTTGCTTAGGGGAGCCTGAGGAATGCCCAGAGAGTGGCCGAGCAGCGCCAGCTCCTCAGGATGGCACAGCTGGTAGGTGGCACACTGGGAATGGAAGGATGTTGAGGACCACTCACCAGGTCCAGGTTGCAGACTGCTCCTCCTCAAGTCTTCCCATCTCCCTGGGCTTCCCTTCCCTCAGTGTCCTGCTCAGTTTCTCAGTCCCATTCTGCAATGCTCCCCAATTCTGACTGCCCCGGGCCCTGCCCTTCTCCCAAATGTGTGGCCTCCACCTTCATCCCGTCTGCCCTGGCCAGCACCCGCAGCATGGCCTCAGCTCCACTCTCCTAATTCTCTTCCATGTCCCCCATGTGTCTCACTCTTTGCGCCCCTTCCTGATGACATCTTCTCAGTTCCCTCAGTTACCTCCCCTTTCTTCCCCGCTCCCTCCGTATCTCTCTCTCTCTCTCTCTCCCTCCCCGGCCTCTCTCTTCTTTCCTCCACACCCTCAGGCGGCTTCCACTGTTTCACTCACCAGCTTCTCCTGTAGCACAGAGCCTTGGGCCTGGATCTTCCTCACTTGCTCTAAGCACTTGAGCACGAAGCTCTGGGGGACAGGCAGGGAGCTGGCAGGGTCCAGGGGCACAGCCTCTTGCCCCGTCCAGAATGCACTGTGCCACAGCAGCAGCTGCAGGGCTGGAGTAGACCCTGCTCAGGAGATGCTGTTCCCTCCCACCTGGCTCCCTCCCAGGGACAACGCCAAGTGTCTCTAATCCCCCAGCCCAGAAAGGAGATCCCAGCCCCTCTGCCACTCCGGACTCCCTCCCAAACCCAGAGCAAATAGGTAGCCAGGATCCTCACCCATCAGCTTCGTGGGGCTCCGGGCAGCAGGGCCAGCCATGGTCTTGTGGGGTCTGGGCTGCAGGCTCTGGGCTCTGTCAGGGGCCAACTCCAGAGGGCCTTTATACATATCCCCATGGAGGCCTGGGAGGAAATTACCTGGGGCTGCCACTAATAATGCTTAGTAATAACTTCCAGGATTTATGCAAATTTGGCGTCCAGGACAATGCAGGGGGGGGTGGACAAAAAGCTGTTTGCGAAAGTTTTGTGAAATTGTGGAATCTCTGATCCTTCTTTGACGTCTAGTCCCCCTCAAACTCTCTTCCCCCTTCCAGCCCCACCCAGGCCTAAACTGCCCCCAGGGTATTTGAACAGACTTCGTCAGGAGGCTGTGCGCTGGTCAGAGCACTGGAGGCAAGAGTCTGTTCAGGCTGCTGACCTGACCCTGCCTCCCTCCCTCTGGCAGATGTGCTGGGCAGCTCCTTTTGCCCCTCCCTTTACCCTAGGTAAAAATTCTAAAAGATTGTGCTCCATTTGTGTACAATGTGTCAAAGTGCATTCTACTGTCATGTATAACTAATTAGAACAAATTAGAAAATCAAATAAAAAATATTTTTAAAAAAGAGACATGATTTAGAAACTTAAGCTGTTCTTCTTATTTCATGCCCCTCGCTGTGTTACTGTCTTAGGTCAAATCATGGAGGAGAACATACCAACTATGACTCTGCTATGGGGGGCACACAATAAACTGTAAAAATGTGAAAACAAATTCTAAAAGAGAAGGCAAAAGCTAGTTTGTCCCCATTCTTATTCCAAAACTCCTGCAGGGACAGGGACCTGAGACACTGGGGTCTTGCCTCCTGTGCCCACTCAAAGCTTAGATAGGCACCATCCCTCGTTTCAGGCTGTCCTGTCCCAAGCTGATTAGCTGGGAACTCCCCAATAACTCCCACCCATGACTCATTCCATTAAGCCCCTGGAATCCCGGCAGAGCCTGAGGAAACAGGATGCCCATCCTGAATGAAGTAAGACCCTTTGGGGCTCTGGCTCACGTGACCTTGCCCTTTCACCTCCTTGCGCACTACCCAGTGCACTACCCCTTGGACAGCAGAGTTCCTGGAGCCTTGGAATTGGCAGGGTTGGGACATGTGACTTCCCTGATAACCCACTGCCCCAGAGAAGAGGCTACCAGCCAGAGTGTGTTGCTCTGAAGTGGACGTGGGCTGGGAGTGACAAAGGAGAAAGTGCCAATCTCCACC